CCTCTACCACTTAACTAGATGTGTGATCTTAGCAAGTGACTCATCTTCACTGTGCCTCAGTTTCCTAAACCCCGAGATGGGGATCATAATAGTACCCATTTAACAGGGTCACAGTGAGAACTGAAAGAAGGAATTCAAAGAAAGCTGGCAAACTGAAGAGTTTGGTGATGGCCACGATGAAGATGATGAAGAGGAGGAGAGAAACAATGACAACAATGACTGTGAGGTGAGTAACCAAGAGGCCACAGATAACAGTGGTGAAGAGCGGGTGATGGCGTGAGCCCCAACCCCTGAGCATCGTTCCTGGGGGTGGAGGAGCAAGGGGCAGGATGCGGGATGGGGCAGGTACAGGGGATCTTCCTGGTGTAACAGGGGATGATGGATCTGTGAGAACGCTGTGTCCACAGGAGATGGCTTCAGCGGAAATGGTTCCCAGGAGAGCTTGTCTAGCGGTCCGGAAAGGAGACCGTGGGGGTGAGGACCACCGAGCTGGCTCAGCAGAGGCCTTGTCGAGCAGTAGGAGGTCACGGAGTCTACCTGCCTCACCATGCTTTTCAGGTGCCCTGCACTGAGTCTCCCCAAAGGCAAGGTGGTGTTCACACTGAGCTCCTGCTAGGCAGAGCCTGGCCAGAGGCTCTGTGTTCCTCTCAGGCCTGGAACAGGGCACCGGTGCAGGTGCAGATGGTTTAGGTTTGGGTGCCTGGTCCAATAAGGCCTCACACATGAGGGGACCTGGGGGCCATTTTCCTTGTGGATTCCTGGATTGCCAGCCCACCCTGCGGCCTTTCACCAGGAGTCCCATGTCTCTACCTCTTCTAGGCCTGGCGTCCGACTCCTGCTTTTAGATCATTTCCTAGGTTAGGCTCTACAATCTAGACAAAGATTCCACTCCCTAGTGCAACTGGGCTCTTCCAGTAGTATCACCACCAGTAATAATAAATACCCATAATTGCCACAGACAGAGCATAGGTGTCACACACTATGCCAGATGCTTCTGTATTTCATCTTGTTTAACTTTTAAACCCACCCTGAAGGATGGGTAGCACTACTCCTGTTTTATAGATGAGAGGAATTTCAGGGGCTTAGGTGATCTGCCTAAGGGAACCTAGCTCACAACTGACAGGGTCTCAATTTAAAACCCAAGTCTGTATGACTTCAAGGCCTAAGCTGCTTTCTCCTCTTCAACCACACTGTCTCTCAAATTCAGGGTCCAGGGCCCCTGTGCATGAACAAGGGGCCCTGGCCGGCCTCTCCGATCCCTCCTTCCTCCCCCAAGGACTGAACAATAGCTGGAAGGTCAGGCCCGCGTCAACGCTGTTCAGGGGCTAACCCCTAGCCAGTGTTCTCTCCTCTCCCCCCGCTGGGTGGGACCCACACCCGCCAACTCAGCCCAGGTCTCAGAGCCTCTTGAGTGGACGACCAGTCAGAGCCGCTCAGCGGTGAGGCCAGCTTTTCGGGTTGCCCAAGTAAGAATGGAGAGGAGGAGGCCACCAAGGGGACTGGCTCCCGGGGCCTTGGGAGTGCTGGGTGACCAGTATCCTGGGGCATGGTGGGGAGGCTGGCAGAGGCAGGGTACACAGCACAGGAAGCTCAAATGTCCCGTCCAGTCCAGGTCCCAGGGCTCCATCCTCAGGACAATGGACAGGGCATCTCCAGCCTTCCATCAAACACCAGGAGGAGGAAGCTCAGGGCACGGCACCTGCCACACTGCTAGGACTCTAGTTTGGGGACAGTCTGTCCCATTAGACCGAGCGACTTCGCATTTCTAGCTCAGTGACAGCACCAAAAAGATCCAAAGACGCCTGAATAATGAGTGACTGCGTGGATAGATGGAGCCAGATGTACCTCTGAGAAGAATTCCATGAGAGTTGGTGGCTGCCCCTCCCTCCATGGACCTGCATACACCTGTGCCTGTGTCCCCAGTTCCTCCCTCCCTCCTGACCTCAGATTCCCCACTCAGCAGCCCACAGGTGCTCCTCTGAGCTGCACTCAGCACACAGGACCCGCTAGGAGCTCTTCTACCTGCTTGATGGCTTGGTCTCCCGAGATCTGAGAGGTAGAGGGCCTCGAAAGGTAACTTGTTTGGAGTTATCTGCGCTACCACCCGGTGAATCAGGGAATCAAATAGCCACAAATAGTGAAGAGGAGCGCTCCCGTGTGGATGGAGAAGGCATGGCTAGCTCTAACACAGGCTAGGTTTTGGGTTGTTCAGTCTTCCTTTCTTACATTTTCCCCCGTCTCATACCCCATCAGGACTCCTGGGAATCAGGAGGCTACAAAGGCACTGAGCCACAGATGAAGCCTAAGACCTGTTCCAGCCTTGCCCAGCCAGGCCTTGGCTCCGGGACACAGAGCTGCCTCCTGCCAGAATTCTACATGTGAGGCTCCAGACAGGCGCAGCAAGCACTCCAGTAGCCCAGGGGCTGCACGGTTAGAAATGTCACTCCAGGAGCAGGTCAAGCCCGCGGCCAGACACCAGACGGGGCGGGCCCGAGAAGCCACCTTCCCACATTACCAGGTCTCAGCTGCCAGAGGAGGGAAGTCCCAGTGGCACAGTGGTAAAGAGTCTGACTGCCAGTTCAGGAGACTCAAGAGATGGGGGTTCAATCCCTGGGTCGGGAAGATCCCCTGGAGTAGGAAATGACAACTGACTCCAGTATTCTTGCCTAGAAAACTCCATGGACAGAGGAGCCTGGTGGGCTACAGTCCACAGGGTCGCAAAGAGTCAGACATGACTGAGCACCATCCACACACACTACTGCCAGAAGAGTCTGAAACAGGGCATGGGAGAGGTCCTGCGAAGGCATGAGCCCTGGGCCTGGGGTAGAGGAGGCACCAAAGAAGCTTCCAGGGTAACCAGCAGGGCCTGGGCGGGCCCATTCTGGGTGCTGGGAGAGGTGAGGCCTTGGGTATCACCGGCTTTCCTCTGGCCACTCACTCTAAAGGCCCCATCTATCTTTGACTTTGGCGCCAGGAGCCTCATGAACTTCAGAGGACTCTCTCCCGGCTCCCCTCTCCCCTTTCCACTCACATCCCCCAACTCTGGGAGGGAGTCCTCAGCAAGGACCACAGGGCTGGGTCCTGGAGCCCTGGGCAAGGCCAGGACAGGACACAGACATCAGCACAGTGAGCCTTGTGCATGAGCACGGCCCACATCTCTTCACCCCAGCTGCTCCAATTAGGTCCCAGCACAGGCCTGCCACCAAGGCCAGGCCGGGCAGTGAGCTCCCGAGTCTTTGGGGAACAGTGAGGCCCTGCTGTCTGCTTCCCGAGTGGCCTGACTGTACCGAGCCTTCAAGCCTAGTTGGCTTCCTTTCTTCTCTCTTTCCTTACCTCTTCTGGTGATTTGTTTGAGTCCTGAATTAATTGAACCTGGTGTTCTTGGGAGGATCATGTGACAACACGCCCCTGGCTGGCCCGGGCCCACCTGGGCCTGGCTTCCTGATTTGGGCTGCCTGTCCTATCCCAATCTGCCCAGCAGGAAGCAGGATCTGGTGTCTGAGCCAAGACCAGGTCATTTGTGGTGGCTGGGCCCGGACAGGTGAGACAAGCAAAGGGGATCAGGGCCCTGCCCTCCAGGAGCGGGTGGGCAGATGGGCGGAAGGCAGGGTGACAAAGCAGCGCACAGGCTCTCTGGGGTTCACCAGGGCAGACCCAATTTCCTCCCATTTCTCCCTTAGAAGCGCCTAAGGGATTGGAATTATAATTCCAATTCTCCTGCCTTCAAGGCAAAGAGAAGGGCTCTGAGAACTAGGGTCTTGAAAACAGCGGGCTGCTCGCTCAGTCCCCACACTCTGCCTGCTGTGCGTGGACAGTGGGCCTGCTTGCTGTTCAGATCGACTGAAGCCAAGCCCCTTTCTCCCCTCTGGGGAGTCAGGCCCGCCCGGGAGGCCTGGGCTGCCACATTCAGCCTGGCTCTAGATGGGCTTCCCTTCCCCTCTGCCCCACCTACCTGAATCTCTGGACCTGACTCTGTCTTCGCTCTCGATTGCTACCTACTTGACTCTGCCTGCCTTTGGCCTTGCTTGGGAAAAGGCTGTGGAGTTAAACCAAACTGCACTGAGACCTCCATAGGCAGGAGAAGCTGTTCCAGCCGCCCCCCAGCTCTCCTTTGAACCTCCAGAAAAAACAGCTAGCTTCTTACTGTAGGCAGAGGGCTTCTGTCATCATTCTCCTATGCTAAGAGGCTTGGGTACTGGAAGATGAATGGCCTGAACTCTGCAGTGCCCTTCTCCTGGGGTGGCTGGTGACAGCTGGTTAGGGGGAGAGGTGGAAATAAGCCTGGACAAGTTGGCCCAGAGTTGAGAGACAGAAGGCTCAGGAGGGGACTCAGTGGGTGGTCCACAGAGGAGCAGTCTGACCCTACTTGGCCATAGAAGCTTTCTAAAGAAAGGGGCCCAGACCCTTGCCTGCCAAGAACAGTGAGTACAGAACCTGACCATTCCCAGAGTGGAGACAGACTCAGTGGCAGGTCGGGATCCAGCACTGGGTAAAAGCACAACGTGGAGAGAGGCCGGGATTTAGAGTTTGGGAACTGGCACCCTCAAGGTGAGGGGTCTGCAGACCCTGTGCAACGGCCACAGGGTCACCTGGCTGGGAACGAGGGGAGCCCCACATGACCAGAATAAGAGTGGGGGAGGCACTGGGGGGGGGGGTGGCGGGAGGCGGGACAAGTACAAAGTTAAGGCAGGGAGTTGTGGAGATCAGCAGTAAGGCTGGGGCTAGCCAGGCGCCCGGGGTCTGGCTTAGAGAAGACTGAGAGGAAGGACCAGAGCCTGGGTCTCTGAAGGCAGGCAGCAGATGGCAGGCACATCAGCTCCAGGAGTCTGGGCCATGACCTTGGCATCTCCTGGCCCCTCTGCCCCTTGACTGCATCTGGTCCTTACTGCTTCTCTTGAAAGGTTCCTATTGTTCTTTGCCCGGGTCAGGGGAAGGAGCTGACGTGGAAGCTGGGCAGGGCCTGAGCAAGAAGGGGAGGAGCCGGGGCGCAGGGAGCTCACCACTCTCTCCTTGTAGACGATGTATTTCAACCACTTGAAGTCCTGCCACTTGAAGCCAGCGAGGACAAAGAGGGAATCGCGTTCGTACTGCTCAGGCCGCTGCATGGCGCCCTCGGGGTAGGTGATGCGCAGTGTGGTTTTGCTGCCCACGTCCTTCTCAAAGCCTTTCACTGGTGCTGAGTTCAGTCTATAGAGAGCAGACCCAGTCAGACAGAGCCTGTCCTGGGCTCACTGCGTGCAGTCTGCAGCCCTGTGTTTGGGGAGACACCATGGCCCCAGAAGACCCCAGAGGCAGCAGATGGGGAGCCCAGGCTACATGTAGCCTCCTAGCTTTCTGTCCCAAAGCCTTCCAACCTGGCTTCTCCTTGAGGCTTCCACTGACTTCCAGTCCAATGGCCCAGATGGACAGACAGACAGTAATGGGTTCAGGGACCAGGGGGTTGGGCCAGGACACGAAGGTACCTGAGGCATTGCTTTGAGGAGCTCACCTGACCACAATGTCATAGTCATCAATTCGCGACCCCAGAGACTTGTTGGCCAGGACACCTCCGTTGCCCACGATGATGCAGCGACGGCAGCTGAGGCTGAGGGGACAGAGGCGGAGACCTCTGTGGAGAGCTGGCCACCAGGTCTCTCCCCCTGTTGCTTTGGCCCCTGACCCCATGCCCTTGGCCAGACACAGGCTGGGATGGAGGAGGAAGACCAGTGAGCCTCTAGCAGCATTTCTGAGAGGCTGGAACCACACTGCAGAGAGCTGGGCAACTTGGGCTCTCAGATCCCCCCTGACTGTTCTCCAGGGAAACGTGGGCGTGAAAGGTGCTTGGGCACTGACTCTGGGGTGGTGAGGAAGGAGGTTCTGGTAAGATGGCATTCTGGGTTAAAGACTCCACAAGGGTTGGTGGGTTTGGGGGCAGCTTTCCAGGGAGAGGGAAAAGTGGGCTGAGCTTGAGGAAGCAAGCTAGGGAAGCAAGGACAAAGGAATGAGCCTGGGGGCGCCAGGACTCAAGGCTGGACTCCTTTCTAACTCAGAAGCCCCCATGCACCCAGCAGCCACCTGAGAGCCCTACTCATGTTGCTTCTCCCACCTCTGACCCTGGGGCTTCATCCATCTAGGATCTATTGGCTTCTGAGCGGTCACTGCCTCCTGGATTTAAGCCCTCTCAGTCGCCCCACCACCCACCCCCTCAGTCCCAGTGCTAAGTTGATCCCAACCCAGTACATTCTGTTCTGACTCTCAGACCTCTGCTGCCTGAGGACTGACTCGCCAAGTGTTCATAGCTCAATGGGGTGGCTAGCTCAGGGCGGTGGCCCTGCTTACCTGCTTATCTGCCCCAGTGTGTGTGTGGATGTGTGGGTGTGCTGCAGAATCTGCCCAGACAAGGGAAAGGCCAGCTGGGCCTCAGCACCTCTGCACGTGCCAGGCAGCCAAGGGGCAGGAAGCTGGGGAATGGCTTACCTGTCCAAGGCAGGGGTCAGGCGGTACTCTTTGGTGACGGACAGGATGGCTTTGATCAGATTGTCTGTGGACAGGGGAGGGAGGCAACTGTTAGAGGTCACTTAAGGGTTCCCAGAAGATGTTTGCTGATGAGCTGAAGGCCTGTGCTCCCGGGGCTAAGATGGGGGAGGGAGCTCCACACACAAGGCTGGGCCACTGGCCTAACTTTCTCCTTGAGAAAGGAGATGGAGGTGGGAGAACAGGCGTGTGCACATGCCTCTGCCTGAAGCCTGACGGCACCCGCATGCAGCTCCTTCCTCGGGCTTCCCTGGCCCTTTCTTAGTAGTCTCAGTTGGCTGTTGGAAACTCTGAAGTCAGGCCCCAGCGACATGCACCCTCAGGTGTGGACCTGGCCTGGGAGCTGGGGCATCAGTCTCCCCAAGAACGGGAGTGCCGGTTAAAGACAGAGACCACACGATGACTCTGCATCCCCACCAAGCAGACACCAGGAAGCAAAGGAGGGGACACCAATGGGGAAGAGCTTGAGTGGTCCCAGCCAGGTCCCCAGCTCAGGCCACTTGGCCTCATTTTCTGAGACCGCCTTCCCCTCGCTTCCTCCCTCTAACACTGCCGATCCCTAATCCTGTTCTTGCCAGGCTGTCTCTACCACCTTACATCTTCAAGCCCTGTGACCTGGCACCTGCCCACCTGCTCTCCACTCAGGCTGCCTGTAGCAAGGGCTCTGTGACGTCTCTGCTCTCAGATCCAATGACCATATTCAGACCTCGTTCTTCTTGGCATCTCTCTGGCTCTGGCAATGATGACTGCTCTTCTTTCAAATTTTGGTATGACAAGACCATTATAGTATAACAGATGATACTATCAGCTTTGGACTCAAATCCTCGCTCTGTTGCTTATGAGTTCTGTGACCTCAGATAAATCACTTAGCTGTCTTTGAGGTTTAGTTTCCTCATCTTTCAAATGAAGATGGTAATTCCTACAGTGCAGAACTGTTAGGAAGATAAAAAGATAATGTACATAAAGACCTAAAGATAAGTAAGCTGGTATGACCACAGTGGGAAACACCTTTGTATCAAATAAAGATGTAGCTGTGCACAGACGAACACCTTGCAACCCTCCTCCTAGGTGGACAGCATCAGAAAAGTCACACATTTGTTTAAGAAAACATGTACAAGAACATTCATCACAGAACTGTTTGTAATAGCAAAATGTGGGAGGCAACCTACAAGTCCACCAAAGGAAAACAGATTAAATGTGGTATATGGAATACTATACAGCAGTTACAAAATCAATGACCTAGAGTAACCTGTACCAATACAGATAAATCTGAAGAGTATAAGCAAAAAAATCAATTTGAAAGACACACACTTATGCAATACTGTTTATAAAGTTCAAAAGCATGCAAAAACCATGCAATATTTTTAATGGATATTTAAATAGACTATAGAAATATATAAACAGGCATGAAGCCATAACACAAAAACCAGGATACCGGTCTCCTGGGGAAGGCAGGGGATGGGGTAGGAAAGGTTACATGGAGCTTGAACTGTACCTCATGTGTGATTTCTGAACTGACTATAGAGAGTACATGGGTGCTCATTATATCAGTCTTTATGCTTTCTTATAAGACTGAAATACTTCATGTAAAGAAAGGATGCCTCCAAAATTAAACACAACAACCTTTTAATTTTTTTTCCTTTAAAAAATTTTTTTAAATTTATTTTTAATTGGAGGATAATTGTTTCACAACATTGTGCTGGTTTCTGCCATACGTCACCATGAATCAGCCAGAGGCATACATATGTCCATTTCCTGTTGAACCTCCCTCCTGCCTTCCACTTCATCCCACCCTTCTAGGTTGTCACAGAGCATCAGATTGAGCTCCCTGCTGACATACAGCAAATTCCCACTGACTGTCTATTTCACATATGGTAATGCATATGTTTCCATCCTACTCTCTCAATTTGTCCTACCCTCTAACCTCATAATTTTTTAAAAGGTGGAGTGGAAAATACTGTCAGATGCAGCCGAGAGGTCAAGTTAAGGACTGAAAAGTATCCTTGGGCTCTCATGGGGGGCTCTGAGCAGTTTCAACTGAAGTGGTGGTGAGGGGGGTGGGGGGAAGATATTCTTCAGGAGTAAATGGTGAGGAAGAGGAGACAATTGGCATGGGCAATCTTTCCAGAAGTCAAATGAGAGAGGGTCAGGGTGACATTCCTTTAAGGAACATTCTACACTAAGTGACTTCAGACACACTTTATAGTGAGCTTTGGGGAAGGTCACAGATCCCCTCCTTTTCCTACCTGTAGGGAAAAGCATACTGCTGCTAACCAACCAAGGCCAAGGCTATGGACTGGGTTTTTGTTTTCTAGGAGGGGAACCTTAGCAGAATGGTCATAAACTATGGGGTACTTTTTCTTGCTGGATGATGGGCTCTGTATTGGCCTTTCCTGCGAAGATCAGAATCTCGAGTGAGGGTTTATGAGGAAAGGTAGGCTGCTTGGCTCCCTGCACCCATGAAAAAGGCGTTTATATGGTTCAACCCAACCTTGCAGGTTTTGAAGGTCAAGGCTCCAGTTCAAGACTATCCTTTTCTTGGCCACTGTCTTCTTTTCAGGGAGGGGTGGGCTGGCTGAGTAGAGGGTTTGGGCATTCTGGAGTCTGCTCGCTAAATGATATCACCCTTTAACAGTCATCTTATTTAATTCTGACCACAACCTAATACAGTGGTCTTATTCTCTCCATGTAACTGATGAAAAAACTAAAGCAAAACATGTGAGCAATTTGTCCATGGTCACAGCTAGTAGAGAGGTAGACCTGGGATCTGATCCTTCTATGTATGATGTAAAGCCAAAAATCTACCATGCCCTGAAACAGGAGTAGAAAATCTGATTTTTTTTTTTAGAAAATCTGATATGTAAACAGAACCGTTACAGTGATGCGAAAGTCTTTTGTCAGGAGCTGCATGGTGAGATTCCTGAGGCAATGGAAGGGGACAGTTCTGAGAGTATGGGAGGGAAAGGTTGGCCTTGGACAGGATAAGGAAGGACTGGAGGGAAGGCTCCATGAGGTGAAAAACATCAGGAGGGGTTGACGGAGGGGTCTGGGGGCAGTCATGGGGCACAGCCTCTATTTCCCCTGGGATGTCCCCCTAGTCCTCTAAGATGTCATACCGAGTCCTCTAGCGTGGATGTCTCAGGCACCCCTTTAGGGTGGTCTCACAGCACTGTGTTCTTCTCTCATCAGAGGCCTTACTGTCCTGTCCTGCCCCCAAAGTACTTGTGTCTGCATCAGACTGGAGCTTTGTGAGAGGGAGGACCACAACTGTCTACTCTACTGCTATGTACCTAGCCCCCAGCAAAGTGGAAAGCTCTAAGTAAACAGTCCACTAAAGAAGTAGGAAAAAAGAAAGGACAGGAAAGAGTGAGAGGAGGTAGGGCATTGTTGGGGGGAGTTCCCCAGCAGAGAGACTTCTGAGGGTACAGCCCTGCCCTGAAGCCTAGGGAGGTAATCTGGGAGACAAGATGTTCATATAGAGTAGGGCAGGGTCCCCCACATACCTTGACCTTTGATCCCAAAAGGCGGCACAAATTCCCGGATCCTAGCCCACTTGCGGAAGGAGGCATCCAGGAACATGGGTGCTGGCTTGGAGAACCTGGAATACGACAGGGCTGTTGAGGGTCCCAGAGTGTACTAGGCTGCAGTGCTGGCTGGCATCTGTCTTGACTGTGGATCTGCTGGAAGCCAGCCACTATGTTCCAGCACCCCCTGGCGACCCCAGTCTACTCATTGGGTAGTTCCTACGTGGGATCTGATAGGCCTTGTTCATCGGAGCCTGGGTTTGGAGGAGTGGGCCTGGCCAGTCCAGATGTGGCCAGCTGCCGGAGTGGAGAGACAGGATGCACTCAGCAGGGATCAACATCCCCGAGCTGGATGCTCTCTGGCAGGTTATCCATGCTTGCATCCATCCCACAAGCACGGCTATCCTCGCTGTTCCTGCAAGCTGGAAACTCAGAGATGAGATGCTGTCCAGTGAGCAAAAAAATACCCTCGAATACAGCCAGTGCAGAGAGACAGAATTTGGGAGAGAATTCTGGGAGGTGGACCACCCAGAGTGTGGAGAAAGGAGACTCCACAGTGAGAGGGCAAAGCAGGTGAACAGCCACAGGAGCTGGAGGTTTGACCGAAGGGAAGAATTGTAGTATCCTGCAGCTGAGAGGCAGGCAGGCTGAGCAGAGGCTACAGAGGAGCAGAAGGCTGAGCACTCTGCTGGCAGAGAGGAGGACAAAGGAACACTAAGCTCCCGGGGAGGTGGGGGTGGGACATGGAGTTTACAGGGAGGGCAAATTATGGTCTGGAGGAAAGATGGGAGGGAAAAGGGGAGAGGGGGAAGCATGAAGTGATGCTGAGCTTGGGAGAGAAACGGGAACTTCTTGGGAAGCCAGGGAGTGGGCAGGGCAGGGGGGAGGCTGGGAGGTAGGGATGGCATCAAAGGGGTGCAGAAGGAAGTGAGCAGAGTGAGAGGAACAAGAGGAACCAAGCTCTTCAGAGATGCTTGGACAACACAACCACACTAGAACCTAGCACCCTGGTTTTGATACCTTGAAAAGGCAGCCCTGGAGATGGCCAGCACCTGATCACTTCCTGGGTGTGGACCTCTGCTCAGGGTCTTCCTGGCTGAGAATGAAGGTGTACAGGCCTCGGCCTCAGTGGCTGTCTCTGTTTGTAACAGCCTGAATCACCCCACTGAAAAACTGAAGACTGGAGGAAAGGGCTCTCCTGGCCCAGAAGTTAGAACTCACCCCTCCCAGCGAACACTAACCTCAGCATCCATTTCTCATTCCCATCATCACTAACATCATTACAATCACCAGGCCCAGGGGGAATCACAGCAGTAATCACTTGGAGGTCTAGCATTATTGGAGATTTTGAAGCGAACTTGAAAGAGGCAGAAAGGTTTCAGTGCTGCTCCCTCCCCAGCCTTTGCGGTCAGGAAGAAGCTGTCAACACAGCTTGGGAGGGCCATTCCTGCACACTGGCTTTCTTCTCAGCTCACTCCCCTTCTGAGTGCAAGAGTCAGTCATGTTTCTCATACTTGGTCCACACAGTCTAAGTGAATCGATACATCTGATGTTTTACCAGAGGCCCCGAGGACCCTGGCCAGAGTCCACAAGGTCCCTGGATAAGCCTGGGGCAAGCACCTCTGTGTCAGGCTTGAGCTTATAAAAATTTAGCAGTTTCTCAGTCAGGCATGGACAGGATTTTATCTGCTTCCCAGGATATTGGATGTTATATGCTAGCAAAATCTCCTAAGATCTAGCCAAATGATCTCAATACATTATTTTCTTTGTCTTGTCCCTTCCCCCATCTTTCCAGCTGATTAGAAAGTTCATTATGTTAATTGTTACTAAAAAAAAAAAAAAACCTATATTTTTGGTGTTGCTTGTAATAGGTGTTACTTTTGGGGGAAAGATACAAATAGGCATGCACACACACATACAAGTAAAAATACTCATAATCCTACAACACAGAGACCATTAACCTTGGGTATATTTCCATACTGATCTTCCTTTTCCCATATTATTTTTTAGATTGCTCTGTAAACTACTTTTTTCACCTTATAATATTATGAAAATATTGCTCTGTAAATAGAACAAAAACCATTCTGCTGGTAACCTGAATAAAAAAATGATTCCCCTAATAGAATGTACAGGGATACACAAATGAAAAGATATGTTGAAACCATTAGATTTTATATCTCTTTTCTCTTAAGCTGGTTTCCTTGTTTATAGTGATATTAACATAATTATGTTAATATCCACACATATAGATACACACACAAAATGCAGAGGGCAGATTCAAGATAATACCACCAGTATTATTACTAACACTATCATTACTAAAAATGATTTAAAGTTTCTTTATAGTTCTCTTTGCCTTAGGGTATATCATACTAGAGAAGTACAGATAAATTATTTTGCTTTTGCAAAATTATTTTGAAATAATCCTGCTGAGTTCACTTCATCAACAATACATAGTTGGGTTCATATGTTTCATTTTGTGTCTTAAAATTTGCTTATTCCTCATTTTAATTTAATTTTGTTTTATGATGACATAAAACTATAGAATTCCAGAATTAAATTCACAAAACAAGATATATTCAAACTTTTATTTGTGTCTGATTCCTGTTACTTTTAGTCCCATTTAGCATTCATTTTTATTAGTTTTTAAATTTTCCTCCATGTTTTTTTGAGATAAGCAAATACATATGTGTGTGAATTCCTATGCCCTTCTATATTTAGTAAAATGTAACATATACACTGTTTTACTTTTTTATTTTTTTCACTGATATTCAATATACTCTGGTGATCAATGCACAGCAGTAGATAGAGTTATATACTTGATACTATCTCATTATGGTTATGTACATATATTAGTCCAGCGGTTCCCTGGGTTATTTCTGGTCTTTCTTAAGAGTACTTACCACTAACAGTTGTTAACAATGAACAACCATGTATCCATCTTTTTTTATTTGCCAGTGTATCTTTGGAATAGATTCCTAGAGTTGGTTTTGCTGGATCAAAGGGAACACATACACAGTTTTGATACATAGCCAAACTCCCCTCCACCAGGACGTATGACAGTATCATATTCCCCACAGCCTCCCCAACAGAGTATACTGTTGAACATTTCAATTTTGCCAGTCTGACAGAAGGTATCTTAGTGTGGTTTTAATTTGTATTCCTTTTACTATGCTTTGAATTGAACATCGTTATATATGGAAAGGCCATTTGCAGTTCTTTTTCTGTGAATTTTGTACATATCTCTTGCCCATTTTCCCAAAGGATTACTGGTCTTTTTCTTCTATTTGTCCCAGCTTTATTAAGATATAATTGACTATAAATGATATATAACACTGTGTAAGTTTAAGGTGTACAACATTGATTTCATACACATACATGGCAATATGATCACCACCACAGCATTAATTAACAATCTTCTCTCTCTCTCTTTTGAAGCTCTTGATATATTATATATATAAACCATTTGAGATGCGATTACAAATAAATTTCTGAGTTTATTTATTCGCTTGGCTTGTGGTGTTTTCTTGCTTTCTTTTTTCCACCTTTTAACAATAGAATTTTAATGCAGTCAATTTATTAATCTTTTCCCTTATTGCTTCTGGGTTTTGAGTTTTAGTTTAAAAGGCTTTCTTCATTCACATGTTATATTTCCCTCTTTATTAGAATTCCATTGATCTCTTCAGTCTCTCTTGCCAGGATGCTGTAACCTCTTGTTCCACTGTCTTTTGTCTCATCCATAAGGCAAAATCCAATCAAAGATTAATCAAATCTGACACTCTTACACTTTATGAACTCAAAGTGCTGCTAGAACACACACACACACACACACACACACACACACACACACACACACACACAGACTGGCTCCCCTACAAATTCATGGACTTGAGCCTTAGGTAAGCCCTCACACTCGCTCAGTGGCTATTGCAAATCTTCACTCTCCATGAACTCTATCCCTTTTCAGCCTTATCTAAGTAGACATCTCTTCTTTTCTCTCACTTCACAGACAAAATCAAGCTTATCAGATAGGAACTCCTTGCACTTCTTACTTTCTCACCTCACCTCAGATCCATTAAATCTGGTCTCTCCATCACTCTATGCAGCCCACTCCTATCTGTTTCCCACTAAGCATGCAGTAAGCTCAGGTCTCTTCTATGTGAAAACTAACTCTAATACCAGAAAGCGAAGGCAAACTAAAGAGCCTCTTGATGAGGGTGAAGGAGGAGAGGGGAAAAGCTGGCTTAAAACTCAACATTCAAAAAACTAAGATCATGGCATCTGGTCCCATCACTTTATGGCAAATGAGGGGGTGGAGAGGAGTAGAAGCAATGACCTATTTTCTGTTCTTGGGCTCCAAAATTACTGCAGGTGGTGACTGCAGTCATGAGATTAGAAGATTCTTGCTTCCTCAAAGGAAGGCTATGAAAAACCTAGACAGTGTATTAAAAAGCAAAGACATCACTTTGTTGACAAAAGTCTGTATAGTCAAAGCTATGGTCCTTCCAGTAGTCATGTACGGATGTGAGAGTTGGACTATAAAGAAAGCTGAACACTGAATAATTGTTGCTTTCAAATTGTGGTGCTAGAGGAGACTCTTGAGAGTCCCTTGGACAGCAAGGACATTAAACCAGTCAATTCTAAGGGAACTCAACCCTGAATATTCACTGGAAGGACTGATGCTGAAGCTGAAGCTCCAGTATTTTGGTCATCAGATGTGAAGAGCAAACTCACTGGAAAAGACCCTGACGCTGGGAAAGACTGAAGGCAGAAGGAGAAGAGGGTACAGAGGATGAGATGGTTGGATGGCATCACCGATTCAATGGATATGAACTTGGGCAAACTTCTGGAGATGGTGAGGGACAGGGAGGCCTGGCGTGCTGCAGTCCAGGGGGTCACAAAGAGTCAGACACAATTTAATGACTGAACAACGACAACAACAAACTAACTAATTCAAACTCTTCTGACCATGTGCCCATGCTACCAATCTCTCTCCATCCTTTCATGGCAAAACTTCGAGAAAGAGCGGTGGATATTCTGTCTCAGCTTCCTCATCTCCTATTCACTCCTTGAT